ACTCTCAGCCACCATCTAATGGCCCTAGGGACACCCTCAGCCAGCTGCTTGCCCTCTGAAAATTCGTTACTGTACTGAGTCTGAAATCCTGTTGTAACTCCCTGACCACTTACTTATGTAACAACTTGCCACATCCTTCCTCCATTCTCACCATGGGAGCTGTCCTTGTCCTTTGTATTCCTTGATGATGGCCAGAATCCTATTTTGAAGCAATCACACTTCCTACCTGGTAGTGAATTCACTATTCCCTTTACATTTCTGCTATGCAGCAACTCCCAGACTGGGCTCTCCTCTCACTGTTCCAAACACCCCACCCACTCCTGAAAGGGAATCTATTCCAGTGCAGATCAAGCTGAGATGGCCATATCCTGTTGAGGATCATAATTAGGGCAGCTACCCACCTTTGTCTGCAACCATCTCTGGTTCCTTTCCATCCTGGCTTCCCCATTCTTCCATTGACTTGACTGTTGGAGATTCCAGCATGAGGTATGAGGTTCCACCCAGAGTTCCTTCAGAAGAAAGGTCTGACAATCTACTTTTGAAAAATCAGCCATTGAAAACCATATGGAGCACAGTTCTACTCTGACACACCACACATGGGGACTCCATGAGCTGGAACTGACTAGACAACTACTGGTACTGGTACTTGAATTGTTTGAATTAACTGACACTGTCTTCGGAGCACTTCAATCCTTAGTGGCAAGCCTCAGGAATAATGTGCACAAAAGGTGAAGATGTTGGCCATGCTACAACCTTGAGGAAAGTAAGATCCTTACCATGAGCCAAAACATGGATTGCACAAAAGCTATAGACAGCATGATGTGGGGTGGAGAGGCAAAGCATGACAGCAAGTATTGGGGCAAATCTTAAACTAAGAGAACAAAGTGACCTACGTTTGTTACATGCTGGATAAGGAATGTCACGAGAACCGGGAAATCTGGGATTGCACAAGGGACAGAAACAGAGGCATACTAACTGGTGGTTGTGGGGCAGAAAGCCAGAAGGTTCTGGAGCTATAAACTGCTGAAGAAGCAGAGCTGGCAGCACCTCTGATACCAGGACAGCAGAGCAGAAGGGAAGAACAAAGGCAACCAACCAAGTCAGCGCAGCAGCCGGCTGAGTCAGAGCAAAGCTGAGCTCTAGCTGAACCTCAGAAAGTCAGACTGGGACCCAAAGGTGTGTCATCAAGGTGACTCACTGACAACAGGGGGAACCATGGAAATGGAGAATTACTGGATCTGTTCTTCCATTACAGCTTCATTCTTAAAACTCTGGAGAAAAGGCATACATTGCTCAGGGTATGGTCCAGATTTTCTTCATTGGCATCGTCACCTTCAGAGTGCCAGAAGAATCAGGTGTGCGGAATTACCCTAGTGCCTGACTAGACATTTAAATAGCACCAAATATGTATCCAGACTTGTCTTGTCTATTCAGAGACAATGAAGGAAAGAGCCTGTGGCTACTGAAAATTTATGCGGAGTTGGCTGGTGATGGAATTTGACCCAGCTCACTGCAGACTGGCTCTCACGGCTGCCATACAAGCTCAGGTGTGTGAGGTGGAATACAAGAGACAATCGTCTCATGCACTTTGGACTTGTTATCAGGAGGGACCAGGGAGAAAGACATCATGCTTGGTAAAGCAGAGGGTCAGCCAAAAAGAGGAAGACCCTCAAAGAGATGGATTGACACTGTGGCTGCAACAATGGGTTTGAACATGGCAATGATTGTGAGGATGGCACAGGACCGGACAGTGTTTCATTCTGTTGTGCACAGGGACGCTATGAGTCGGAGCCGATTTAATGGCACCTAAGAGCAGCAATTGGCTTACAAAGGGACTGTGTTTTTCTCGATTAATTCGCCAGTAATTTTCCTCGTCCACAAAAACAAAAAAGAACACATTGGACTAAGAAACCCTGAACACAGAATCAAGGTCAAGATACAGATATGCCATTTATATATTAGAAAACCTTAGATGTCACCTAAACATTCAGGGTCTCAAATTTTTTATCTGTAAAATCAGGACAATGATGTTGCCGCCTCAGTCTTTTCATAAATATCAAATAAGAAAGTGAAATGTGAAAAGTGTGAAGTATTACAAATGTATACCACATGTATGACTATGTATTATAAGGATAATATAAAGCATTTTAAAATTTTTATTGGATTTCTATCCCATTGCATTTCTTCCTTGTTTCTCCTTTTATTTCTCCACGTAAAGTTGCAGGCAATCTGTTACTTCTGGATTGACT